GTTATAAAGAAGATGTGTCTAAATTATCAGGCAATTTTGACAATTTTTCATTATTATATGCACTATATCAAAAATTCTGAATATTTATGACGACCACTGTATGTGCAATGACTTATTCAATATACATATTGTTATAACATGAAGTCATTAACACGCATTTTATTTATCTGATTGCATTGTATATAAATATCGTTATTATTACACGTACAGATCGGCGTTACTTTGTGTGATTACTCACATATAAAAAAATGATATAAGACTGGTGGCAAAATATTAGCTTGATTTGTAAAATAAAAAAATTTTTCACGTTTGATATTAATTTATTCTACGTTTTATATATATGTCGGACCCAATTTGTCAATCCGCCAGATCGTCGATCTGGCCGACCAGATTGTCAATTTAGCGGCCAAATTGTCAATCGAGGCTAGGATAATGATGGTTAATTAAGTCCCATGATCGGGTGTAATACGATGATCATTTTTTCACAGCCATCTTTCATATGCTTCTTATGAATCTCGCCTTTTGTTAATGTGTATGAACGATTACCAGGGGTCGTTTGTCTAATGAGAGGTTTCTCATGTGTTTCCTCTTGTTTAGACGAAGGTTAACATATTAAAATTATTGCAGGGTATATTTTTATATTTTTATTGTAACGCGTACACCATAATTTTGAATGTTCGCGATATATTGTTTTTTCATAATATATTGTACTTGAGTTTTTTAAATATGAGCGTAATTGTAGATGAAAAATACTCGGACATTGTAGATATTGAATTACATGACGAGAATATGTCGGATGACTTTTCTTGCATACCAAAAGCATCCTTTTGACAACTAGTATTGAATTACCTTAATGAAAGAACTGAAAAATGGGCTGATACAATTTTTATGAGACAGAAAACTTACGACTATGTAATTTGTGCATGCCATAACAACAAAGATACAGATTTTGCTACTGCAGCAGCTCGTCATCACTGGCGTTGAACATTTGAACTTCAAGAACTTGGAAGCTCTGAAAATTCTCTTACACAAGTGATTTGTAAATTATGTCAACATATAGTAATCTCTTTGGACCGTATCTATGATTTGATTTGTAAACTACATGTAGGAGTTGACAAACATTGTGGGTAACGAGCATTACGTGATATGGTAAGTTAAATTAGAATAAAATTAAAATTATAAACATTTAATATAATTTTATTTTTTCTAGATTAAAAAGCAGTATGATGGTATTCCCAACACTTTTATTGAATAATTTGCTTGTCTTATTATACTCCATCCAAAGTCGCTGCAAAACTGATAAAATTCAGTGGTTTTCTTCATCACATTCAAATTTATCTTATTTCCTATACTCACGCACCTGATGGTGAATATCATTAACTGCATATAAGAGATCTCTTTACCAGATTCTCTTGGGCAAGATCATTGTTTACCAAAAGAGCTACTGAGATTGCTATCACACTTTTTGATATCTTTTGTATGTTTGAACCATCATGCATTCAATGGAAAAGAATTTATGGCTTCATTAGTAAGAGAAGTTAAAAATCTTTGATCTAGATATTACTATAATTAATGGACATTCTTATTATTCACAAAGTACTAAAACAACATCTCATATCAGTACCAGTCTTATTGTTGCCTGATCTTAAACTACTATTTACAGTTACAACAGATACTTCAGATTTCACCATTGAAACTGTATTAAGTCAAAACCAAGACAAGGAAAATCAACCTATAGCTTTTGAATCAAGAAAGCTTTCATCAGCTGAACAAAACTATTCAGTTTATGAGAAGGAACTATTTGTAATTGTACATGCTATCAAACTTTAAAAGTCATATTTAGAAAGGCAAAAGTTCATAGTAATCACAGATTATATCTTTTTGGAATATATAAAAACATAATATAATCTTTTCAAGAGATAGACTTGCTGATTAGAAACTTTACAAGCCAGTAACTTTGAAGTAAAATATAAATCTGACAAAGATAATATTGTTACAGATGCACTTTCTTGCTAATTATACCTGATAAATATAATAGTTGTTATTATTAATCTTATCAATAACAAAGAATTGATAAAGAAATATCAAGAAGACAAATATGAAATATATGAAGTCTTGAAGAGCTTCAATAGTATAATATCCAAGCAACAGATTAAGATAAAATACTTTGAATTAAAAGAAGAATTACTTTATTTAAAATATATAAGTCAACTAACTATATCTAATAATAAAAATTAAAAGTCAAAACACTATTTGAATTTCATGACATATATATAGTAGAATATATTAGAATAAATAAAATATATATAGCAGTATCTCAACAGTTTTATTGATCAAAAATAAATAAAAGTATATATAAATATATCATCAGTTATGAATCTTATCAATATAATAAAAATAATAATTAATAACTCTTAGAATTACTTTAATTTTTAGTCATTTTAGAATATAGATAAAAATATATTATCATGAATTTCATAATATAACTTCTAACTATTATGTTTGAATATGATGCTATAGTTGTATTTATAGATAAGTTATTTAAAAAAATATATTTTATATTAAAATATTTTTGAAAATATCTTTAAACTATATAACTTATATATAATTATCATATCAGATAGAAATACTAAATTCACAAGTCACTTTTAAAAGTTATTATTTGAATAACTTGAAATTAAACTTGTTTTTTATTCTTAATTAGATAATTAAATAAAAAGATTAAATAAAATTCTTGAAGAGATACTCAAAATATACATTATCTATTAGTAAAATAAATAGGATAAAAATTTAGTTACTACAAAATTCATCTATAATAATAGTAAAAATACTTTAACTAGTCACATATCTTTTAAATTAGATTATAAATAAATATCTCATATATCAATTAATATTCTGTTATTTCAAAATAATATTATAGCTTTATAAGATTTTATAAAATATTGAAATATCATAATAAAAACTATTAATGATCTATTATTTAAAGTGTAAGATAGGTAAAGTAATTATGCAAATTAATATAGAAGATTTAAAGAATTTAATATTAGAGATAAAATTCTTCTCTCTACTTAAAATATAAATATTCTAGTAGATAAATAAAGAATAATCAAAAAGCTTATATTAATATTTGTGAATTCTTTAAAATTACTAATAAAATATCTTCTGTTACTTATAAACTGCAACTATCAGTAAATATAAAGCTTTATCTAGTATTTTATATTTTATTACTAAAGAAATATAATTCAAATAATAAATATAATAAATAACAATCATTATCAATTATTATTATCTCTGATAATAAAGAAGAATATAAAGTTAAAAAATTCTTGATAAAAGAATTTACTATTATAAATTTCAATCTCTTGTTAAATAACTCAGCTACTATATAAAAATCTCTTAAGAATTTGAAAAATATTATAAAGAAGATTAATATCTTTGAAAAATCATATACTTAAATATAATAAGAATATTATACTTTAAGTAAGAAAATATGTAAAAATTTTGATTAGATTATTTTTTTAGCTTAAATTTTCATTTTGTACTATTTATATAATAGATTAGCTTCTATATTACATTTATAAAGATCAATTTTATTTTGGATATTCAGATGATCATTTATATATTTAATTATTAGATTTAATATATTATTATATAAATAATTACTATATATATCTATATTATTAATTTAGTAAATTAATATTTTTAATTTAATATTCTTTTATAATTTTACTTATTCTTTTTTTATTATATTTATATTATTATTTATTATATTATTAATTATTAAATTATAATTAGTTATCTCTAAAGATATAAATTAAGTTAATTAATTTTATTTAACCATATATATTTTAAAAATAGAAATTATTATTAATTTATTTATTATTTGTATTTATTTCTTTTTATTATAAATAAGTACTATTTATTCTGTAATTTAACTTCAGATCTGAATATTCTTTAAATAATAAAATTATAAATTATAAATTAAAACTATTTGTATTATATTTTATATTATTTATAATCATTAACAAAATAATTTTATAATTATTATAAATAATAATTATTATTATTATATTTGCTTAATAAATCTAATAATCTGTCTTTATTTTATTTATATATAATATTATTATAATATATAATAAACTTTTAAACTTTTTCTAAGATCTCTAATATCTAATAACTAATCTTTATTTTTATAATGAATTTTAAATTTTCTATGAAATATATGACTTGATTTATATTATTTATATTTATAACTTAATTAACTATATTTCTAAACTTTATATTATAATTTTATATAGATTCAGTTTGATAAAAAAAATATAGTTATTTATAAAAATATTATTAATAATATATAATAATTGAAATATATTTTTAAGCAACAAATATTTTTCATATTTTAAATAATATAATATTATTATTAGCTTTATATTTATTAAGTATTAATATATAATCTTCTTATTATATAATATAAGATATCAGGAAAATTCACACAGAAAATTTAAGATATATGATAAAGTAATTAAAATAGTATTTATATAAAAAACTAATTCAAGAGCAAATAAGATTATTATATTAAAAACTTAATCTTTATTATATTGATTATTATTAAAATTACAGAACAGAAATAGCATCTTTAAATAATAATTTAATATTATATAAAATTAATAATAATATATAATACTTATTTAGTAGTACCTCTAGAAGATGCTTATTAATAAATAAATAAATAAATAAAGAAAATAATAATTATAAATAAAAAATATAATATAAGCAATATGTTAGCTATATTAGTAAAATAAGAAAAAAAAGAAATTTTACTAAGAAACTTTTTATAACTAAAATAACTCAAATATACTATATAACTTTCTTGAAAAAATAAGATAATTTTTGTAATATAATATCACATATAATATAGTATATAAGATAGTAATAATCTGTAAAATAAAATATAATTTGTTATATTATCTTTCTTAAGAATTAATATTCTTATTGATACTTTAATTCAAAAAATTTAATAAGTTCTATTATATTATAAAGATTTTTTAAAGGCTCTCAGATAGAATTATAAAGAAGATAATCTAGCTATTTAACTAAATATTGTAATTTATTATAAATAATTCTTTTATTTAAAATTATATTATTATAATAATATAAAATTCCTTAATTTATTAATCTTTCTCTAGTTATGTAAATCATATTTTTTTATAATTTTTATTTATTTTATAAATATCTCTATTTTCATATTATATATTACTATATTTATTATCACATTTCTATTTTTAAATATTATATTTTATTTTATATTTGAAATCTACATTTTTATTATTATTTGTAATATGATATTTATGTATATAGTAAAATAGTATAATGAAAGATTATTTTTAATTTTGATAGAATAGTTATACTTAGATGATAATTACAAATATCTTTTCTTATTCTTTGATATTCTTTGATATTCTCTCATATTTTTTTACATCTTTCTATATCTTTCAAGATCTTTCTATATTTTTCAATATCTTTTTATATCTTTTAACATTCTTCCATATACTCTGATATTCTTTAATATTCTTTGATCTCTTTTATTATACTTTAATATAATATATTTCTAATTATTTATACTATAATACTT